GAGGAGAAAGATGTATCAGTCCTAAATTTGGTGAAGAGTGAAACTTTTTGAATGTATTTTTTTTTTCTTGAGGAAAATGGGAAAGCCCTGTGAAGCATCACCTCACTGTTGTGCCTGTGCCTGAAGAGATGCCCTTAGTGGGCAGCAGCCCTCTCCTGAAGGACATTTGGTGGAGCGTGATCTGGCAGTGTGAGGACAGTAGCAGAGGCTGGCTGGGTCCTGTGCCATGGCCTCACCCTGGGTACACCGGTATAGAGAGAGATCTGTTAGCTTACCTCAGGAAAGATGCAGAACTCTGTCTGTCTTGTGTCACTCCAAAAGACAGTGAGTGAGACCAGTTCTCAGGGAAAGGCCCATGCACCCATCTGTCCCCACCCAGGGAAACAGGTCCCTGTGCACGTGGGACACCCAGGCTGGCTGCTCTGTGGGGTTGGCACAATTTTCGGAGTGTTCAGGAATCCTTCCTAAATTTGACATTTAAAAATGGACAAGAGAATGCAGGTTCCTGTTCATATGGAAACTGTTTTGTTCTTTGAGATTATTTATGTCAGATAGTGTCATGGAATGTGGGGGGCCCAGAGCAGTAAGGAGCCTGGCCTTGGTTCTCCAAGCAGCAGGAGCGCATCCCCCAGGCATCCTGTGTTTGCGGCTGGGCTGGGTCTCGCAGGGGAGGTGTAGCCGCTCCCACAGCGACCCAGAGCTGCTCCTCGGGTGTTACTGGGTGCGGGCTGGCAAATCCCACTTTAAGCTGTTCCTCTGGCCTGAGCCCTGGAGCCCGAATCCCTCCTCTCCATTCCATTCCACTCCCCATCCCTAGGCCTTGAGCCAGTGGCACCAAGGCAGAGCCAGAGTGGTCTGGCTGAGTCTAAGGCTGATGGTTCTTACCTGGGAAGTTCATTTTTCCTCCCAGAGAAAAGGTTTACAATGGATACAGACCCTCTAGTAATTGTACCATCATTAAGAACATTTATGTAACTTTCAAAGGCGTCAAGATCATGAAAAAACAGCCACCTAGCTGGGTAAGATGGGACATCCCTGTAATCCCAGCTACTCAGGAGGCAGAGGCAGGAGGACAGCAAGTTCAAGGCCACCATGAGCCTTGGAGAGACCTTGTTTCAAAAACAAAAAAATTGAAAAAAATAAAGGGATAAGGATGCCACCCAGAGATACAGCACTTGCCTGGTAAGTGTGAGGCTCAGTTCAGTCTCCAGTGCTGCCAAAGAAACAAGAAACAAAATGACGCCTATGAAGTGAGCCCCATGAAGCATTCACCAAACAGCTTCACAGTGTTAAAGAAGCTGGACTCAAGTTTAAGAGAAAAGGGTCCGTGCAGTCCGCCTGGTGTGGAGGGGTAGGGCACATCCCAGACACACTGGCCTCGCTGCTGTTCGCCTGTCAGCCATGCGGTCAGTTAGTCCACTGTTCATGTTCACACCCAGGCAGCCACCTCTGAGGAGATGACTGTCTCTTAGGCACTTCGGCCCCCGCCTAATTCTCAACCTGAATACAAATCTGGGCAAGCAAAACTTGATTTCTGGGGGGAGTCATCAGTAGAATGAGAATGTACAGTTCTACATTCCCTGTCATGCCAAGGGCAAATATATGGCCATGGGGCTCCTCGGTGTTTTATTTCTTTTCAAAAGGAGGGCTGTGACCAGTCAAGGGAGTCTCTCCTTTTAATTAGTACTTGTTTGGACTATTGTTTAGTTTTTAAAAATTATTTTTAACATGAAACTATGTCATTAACTCTGTGAACATTCCTACAAACTAAAACCATAGGAAGGGCGGGGAGCTGGCTGTTGAGTCAGCAGCACGACACATAAGGCTTTAAGATGGGGCCTGAGCCAGATGTGGTGGTACACTTCTGTAGTCCCAGCTGCTCAGGAGGCTGAGGCAGAAGGGCTGTAAGTGCAGGCCTGGTCTGTGGAACTTAGCGAGAAGCTGTCTCTGAATAAAATATTAAAAGGTGTGAGGGGCTGGGGATTTAGCTCAGTGGCTCCACTGCCTGCCTTGAAAGTGCAAGGTCCCAAGTTCGATCCCTGGTACCAAAAAAAAAAAAAAAGGTGTGAGGATGCAGCCTAATGGTCAAACACATGCCTAATATCCATAAGGCCCTGGATTCAATTTTCAGTACTGGAAAAAAAAAAAATGTAGCCTGGACCCAAGTTTGGCAGCTGGCAAACTATGTCTGAAATTCTCAAGGACATTCTTCCTCGGGCTGATGAGAGGAAGAAAGGAGTGAGTCACAGCCTCCCATCGGACGTCACTGGTCCCTGCAGTGGGGCTGAGACCTGAGCTGCAGGCTTGAGCCCACCCCATCCAGAAGCAGAGTTGGGCTTCTCCCTGCTCGTCCAGTTAATGACGTTCACTCTCCCCCATTTTTAAAATTTAAGGTGAAATCTGTGCACTGTAAAGCTGGGGACACAGTTGGAGAAGGCGATCTGCTGGTGGAACTGGAGTGAAGTATTTACAGCCTGCATTTGCATCCTCTCCGCCCAGCCAGACCGGAGCCCACACTCCTATGAATGGCCCTGCATCATATTTATTCCACAAGTCAGTCCCAACACTGCCAAAAAAATCACCAACAGAAATTTTTATTGATATAAATACTTGTACATGTGATTTGTACTTCTGCTGTGAGATTTCCCAGTGTCAAAATTAAATCAATAAAGCCAAAAATTTGTCTAAATATTAGTTTGCCCCTTTTTCTGAAGACAGTATACACATAGGCGACAGGCTGGGACAGGCTGTCCCAGTTGACTATTAATACCAGGATTTCATTGTGGTCCTTTTAGAAAACATATAAATTCACTTCTTTGCCTCTGATGTTATTAAGTCAGCATTTGCCATTTTATAGTCTGATTACCCTCCTCTCTCTGGTAACTGAGGACTAGCTCTTGGGGCTCCTTAAAGACGAGGTGGTGCCGCCAGTGATTCTGGAAGTGCCTTCCTCCAGGGCTCCACACAGGTGTCACAGTGGACAGCCGCCTGGTCAGGAGGTCACTTAGGGCCTGCTGCCTGAGCTGGAGGACAGGACATTGCCTGTCCCTTCCCCAAGGCTGCAGGCTGGGTCCCTAGGGGCCGCCTCACCTGCAGCCCCAGTGGGAAGAGCTGCCACCAGATTGGCAGCTGATACCCATCCTCGCCTTTTTGTGTTGTGCAAAGCAACTTTCCAATTAAGGAAAAGAGGCTAAAAATAATGATCATGTTTTTGTGCCAGATGTAGTTAGGATCACAGTCTACCATTAAGTTGAAGTGTAAGAGAGCTTTCCCGATGGAGAACGAGGTTACTAACGACCAGCAGCTGCATCTTCAATTGGTTCTGAAATTCTTGGAATCCATTTCATCCTTTGCTGGTAAGTAGAAGCAGAGTCGTGCACCAACTTGAATCTCTGCTGACAGATTATCAGATGGAGGTGGGTAGTAATTGGTACTTCTTGCGTTGCTAACATTATTTTAAGTGCTGTTTGTATTTGGAAGCTAAGCCTTCTGTCAGCCCTGAAGAACAAATTACTAGCATGTTGGTTCTTCTCTGAAAGGCCTACCCCCAGGCGCTGCGCCTCTGGAAGCAGTGACGGCCTGGTGCTGGGATCTGGCATGGAGCGGCTTCCCGGGAAGTCCGGGTGCTCAGCTGTGTCTCCCAGCAAGTGGGTGTGCATGCCTTTGCTCAGTTAGAATAAAAAGAACCTTCCATCAGAAAAGTACACTGAAAAGAGGACGACCGCAGGTAGCACCGCACATGGGGGCTGCTCTCAAAACACGGAGTTTAATTTCAAATGGACATCATTAACAGTTTCTGTGTGGTCTGAAAATTATGAAAAATGTGCTACATGTACTCGATAGGACAGCATGTTTTTCATGAGGATTTTTTAATTATATTGAGTCATTCAAAAATCAGCTTTTATTAAATCTTCTCACTAGGTGCTGCAGGCCAGAATCAGTAAAGTCATCTGCAAACCCCAGTCTTTACAGTCCCTGATCTTCGGAGGAAAATGAAACAAAAAGAAGAAAGAAAAGTGTATCATATGAGTCCTTTAAATGCCGTTTAGGGGAATTAGCAATGGAGGTTTTTCTTCTGATACACCCAAGCCCACGGGTGCCCTTTAAGCAGCAAGTCTTTTTTTTTTTTTGGTACTGGGGATCGAACTCAGGTCCTTGCGCTTGCGCAGCAGGCAGTGAAACCACTGAGCTAAATCCCTGGCCCTAAGCAGCAAGTCTTGCTACAGAATCCGACAGAATGGTTTAAGGGCCCAGTCTCGCCGCAGTGTCACCACTGAGAGTTCTGCTATACAGACTGAGACTGATGGCTGATGCGCTGGTCTGCTCCTGCCCTGGGGTCCGCACTGAGCCGAGGTGACGACGCTATGCAGCCCCCTCTGTCCTTGCCACCGCCAGCCCTTCTCACCTGTTTTCCCGGGGGTTGTAGCGCAGCCCATGTGGCCCCTCCGAGTCATAGCTGTTGTGGTAGGGGAGGTGGACCCACTCGGGCGCATAGGTGGCCGTGCTGTACACGAAGCACTGCATGCAGTCCCCGGGGCCATCTCTGCCCTCCCACTCTAGCACTGCCACCTGCAGGGCTGTGCGCTGGTACATGTCAGGACAGCCCTCGAAGTTATCGAGGAAGTGCAGCATCTGCTCGTCCACTGTGTAGATCTCGCCTGCCACACGGTGGCCCCTGCCCGGGAGGTGGAGCAGCCAGGGGATGTTGTGCTCGCCAGCGATCACCAGCGGGTAGGGCTCGGCCGTGTGGCCGCGGCCCCGGAAAGCTGCAGAGCCATTGGCACTGTCCAGCAGGACCTCGTGGTTGGGCTGGCCTCGCTTCAGGGTGCCGTACACGAAGACCAGTGCCATCTGCCTGGGGGCTGCGGGGAGAGACAGGAGCATGTCACGAGTGGGGTGGAGCTGCCGGACTGGGCCAGAGGGAACACCTGCTAGGCCTGCAGGGCTGGGGCTCCCCTCTCGCACCCTTCTGCTGGCTGTAGACAAGTAAACAAGTGTGATAGTGTCTCACTCAAACTTGCTTTATGGACACAAATTTAGAAATTCATACAATTTTCACATGTCATGAAATACTTTGATTTTTTTCAGCCATTTAAAAATGTACAAGTCAGACAGGCATGGTGGAGCACACCTGCAATCCCAGCACTCTGGGAGGCTGAGGCAGGAGGATCACAAGTTCTAGCCCAGCTTGGGCAATTTAGTAATTTAGCAAGACTCAAAAAAAAGGGCTGGGGCTGTAGCTCAGTGCACAGGTTCAATCCCCCAGTACAAAAAAAAGGAGGAAGGGAAGGGATTTTGAAGCCATTCTTAGCTTGTGGGCTGTTAGAAAATAGACACCAGGCCAGACTAACCTGTACCTGCCAATCCTTGGTCTAAAGAAAGTGCAAATATTTGTGACTGTAAAAATCTTCCATGTGTTTGAGGGGACTTGGCAGTGGCTCTGCTTTGTACTTTGGGGCCTGTGCCCTATGACACCTGTCTGGTTTGGCAGAAGAAAGGGCATGTCAGCCACCCCGTGCCATCTGGCCAGGCAGACCCTTCGCAGAAGTGCTACTTCCGGTGGCCAATGGCCTGGCTCACAGAGCCCTCTGATCGCAGCCTTTCCTGGCTCAGGCAGGAGCTGCAGGGGGCTTTCTCAGCTGCCCACTGCATTCAGATGGCCTCACTTAGGCCTCCCCAGGCTTCTGTCCCCTCCTCTCAGGAGCAAAGGCCCCCAAGCTGAGACCACCAGACTCATACCTGACACCTCCCTCCCCTGACCATCCCAAGTGGAGCAGCTTCGAGGCCAGGCCCCAGTGGGGACCTCCTGGCCACACCTGTCTGGTGAACAGCTGCTCCTGGGACCACCTCTCAGCACTGGTGTGGGGGGGGCGCCGAGGGTCCAGGAGCTCCAGCACCCTTAACAGCAGTGTATTGGGAAAAGGCACTCATTTCAAGAATACAGTCACTTGCACATGGGGACAGCCTGGCCTGGGCTGCCCCACACAACTTCCAGCTTCTCAGGAAGTTTTCAATCTTTTTAAAAGGATTTTGAAATTTGTACAGTAAACATCAGAGAAAAGTGAGGGATAGCAATGAGCAAAGAGACATGAAAAATAATCACCTGCAATCCAGCTACCAGAGAGAAAGCTCTGCATTTCCATTTTGGCCTTGGCAGTCTGGCCCAGCAGAATTCTAACAGTGGCACCTGTCGTATTTCCTTTCTCAAGGTCTTAGAGGGTAATGATGCTCATGATGACTCACTGTGACTCACAGCAGCAACCCTGGCTCCACGTGAAGGTAAATACCTACACTCGCCCAGGTCTGGGCCATGGACTGTTACATAAGGACACAAGTGACTCAAACACAAATGGAAAGGGAGTAGGGGCCCCCCTGCAAAGCCCTGTGTTTCACTGCCCTCTGCCCGGTGCCATTTAATGACAGCTGCTGGCAGTTGTCCGGGGGACAGACTTCAGAGAGGGGACTACAGTGCAGGAGAACTGCACAGGGCTTGGGCTGGGGTGCAGGTCAGTGGTGAGCGCCTGCCGACACGTGTGGCCCTGGGTTCCACCCCCAGCCCTGCAAAAGACAAAAACCAAGAAGAGATGTCCCAGGAAATCTGTGAACAGCTGTACAAGAAAAAAAAAAAGCCCTACCCTTTCTCATTCCTCAGAGGCAACTCTGTCAAGCTCCTCGACTGTTAACCTTAGGTATCTCTCTCCATGCTGTTAATCCCACTGCTGATTCTTGATGTTTTAAATTATGTCTTGCCTCCCTGCACCAAAGACAGGCAGGCACGGTGGTTTAAAGTTCAGACTTTAGAACCACCCTGCCTGTTGAAATCCTGGCCCTAACACTTTATACTGGGTAACTTTAGGCCAATCGTTGACCCTCTCTGAGCCGCAACTCCAACTAGAAACTGAATGCAGGGACTGCAGCCGCCGCCTGCCTCAGGGCTGTGGCGAGGGCTGCGTGGCTGTGTGCGCCTGCAGCGTCCTGTCACCACCACAGCCAGCAGTTGTTCTCCACCTGCCCCACCACCTCCCAAGAGCCCACACCAGTCTGGGCCAAATCCACATTCATCTCCGTGTTCAAACTATGTAAACACTGCTCTCAGCGAAGACACACAGTATACTGTGATTAAATCCCTTCCTGCGGCACTTTCTTCTTTTTCTTGGAGTAGAAACGGCCTTGGGCTTGTTTTGCTTTGGTGTCCGCTCAGATTGCCCAGGCTGTCATCCAGCACTTTTCCTGGTGCTGGTCCCTCCAGTCTCGCTCGCTCTGGCTGGGTCCCGGATGGCCCTTCCGCTGCCCATGCTAGAGCCTGTCCCTTTCATGGCTGAGTCCCTCATTTTGCTGAAGCTTATTTCCCACTCGGTTAGTAACTTGGCCAGGTGAATGATCTTAGAAAGTGTTTCTCACCGTCTTCCAGTCTCCTGGGTTCCTGCTGAGAAGTCCAGGGCTGTCACGGAGACTGCTTCGGTGTGACTTTAACTTCTTCCTCAGGAGGCCTGAGCTCTCGTCCCATCCCAGATTCTGAAAGGCTATGATGATGAGGACACATGTTTGTTTTCTTTTTCATTCTTTATGCTGGGAATTTCGGCCCAGACACTCACCTTGGGTCATGGGGGAATGTCTTCCCTCTTCCTCCCTTCCTTCTGGGTCTCCTGATATTTATGGCATGAGAGGGATGGATAGCAGGTTAGGGTCAGGCACATGTCAGTATGAGGCATTTCTCTCCATCCCATGCCCCTCACAGCTGCCCGCAGCACAGTCCGCTGCAATCCAGCTACCAGGGGCTTCTCACAGCACAGGAACTGACTTCAGGTTTTGAGGTCACCAAGCTGCCAAGTCAAATACTGCTCGCTGTTTTCCAGTTTTCATACTTCTGTGGCCTTCTCTCCTCTCCTGTCTCGGTAGGATTTTTGAGTGGTGCTTTAGTCTGTTTTGTGTTACTGTAATGGTAACTTTATGGAAAAGAGGCTGATTTAGCTCACAGTCTTGGAGGTTCAGGGTTCGCACCTGGATGGCCTTGCTGAAGGTTCCAAGTGCACCATGCTGGGGAGAGAAAATGCGTGTGTACCTGTCCTGGTTTCTTCCCTCTTATACAGCCAGCAGGACTCAGTCACGGAGGCCACCCTGATGACCTTCAGTGACTGCTGGATATGATAATAAAATTCTTTTTTTTGGTACCAGGGATCAAACTCGGGTCCTTGAGCTTGCGGGGTAGGTGGCGGAACCACTGAGCTAAATCCCTGGCTGATATGACAATAAAATTAAAAATAATTTGGACTGCAACAAATTTTAAAACTTCTGCATACTAAGGAATTCAATCTACCGTGAAAAACACAACCTATGGGATAGGAGAAAGTAAGTGCAAATCATATACTGTATCTGATAGCGATTATTACTGAGAATACGTAAATTAAAAAAACACAACAAAAAACTCAGTTATGATATTGGGCAAAGGACTTGATGCTCAAGGTCACTATCAGGGATATGCAAATCAAAACCACAGTGAAATCCCGCCTCACCTGTGTGAGGATGAGTACTTCCAAAAACAAAACCACGTTAACACATGGTGGTGAGGATGTGCAGAAATTGGAGCCCTGTGCACTGGTGGTGGGAGTAACGGTGGAGTAACTATAGAAAACTGGAAGCCCTTCATAAAAATAATAAAGTTTACTGATCCAGTTGCTGTGAGCTTTTATATATGGCCTTTACTCTGTTGAAGCAATTTCTTTCTGTTCCTATTTTGAGTGTTCTTACCATGAAATAGAGATGACTGTATGTTTTTTATTGTTAGCCTAATGTATCACAGTGATTTTTTTTTTCTATGTCCTATCTTTGCAGTCCAGGAATAAATCTCACTTGATTGTAATGTATTGCTGAATTCTGTTTGCTGGTATTCTGTTTAGAATTTTTATCCATCCAGTCTTCATCGAGGGATATTCATCCCGGGATAGTCTCCCATTTCGTTTCAGATAATTGTTCACAGCATTCCCTCAGAATCCTTTTCATTTCTATCAAATGGCTTCTAATGTCCTCTCATTTCAGATTTTGCTCATCCTCCCACTCCCTGTCCCATTCCCCATCCCCATTAAAGATTCATCAATTTGTCACTCTCTCCAAACAGCAAATTCTTAGTGCCACTGATGTTACGGTTTGGATCTAAACTGTCCCCCAGCACAGGCATGGTTGCCAGCAGATGGCATTACGAGGAGATAGTGGCCCTTGCTGGAGGAGTAGGTTGCCTGGGGTGTACCCCTGGCGGGTCTGCCTTGTTCCCAGCCCCTGCTCTGCCTTATTCTCTGTCTCTGGCTTCTGCCACACTCCCCCACCTGCTTCTGCCATGATGCTCTGACTCCCCAAGGCCAGAAGCCATAGAGCCAGCTGACCATGAACTGCAACCTCTGAAACATAAGCCAGAATAAACCTTTCCCATTTAAGTTGTTTTTCCTCAGGTATTTTGTCACAATGAAAGAAAGCTAACACAGTTGATTTTTCTCTGTTGTTTTTCTGTTCTTTATTTTATCTTTGCTCTAATCTCGACTACTCCTTTTCTTCTACTGGCTTTGGCTTTACTTTGTTCTGTTCTGAGTTCTCAGTTCTCTGTCTTTCTATACTCTTGTTCCTTATCTGTCAGCTTCAGCCCATTCCCAAGGGCTGCTGGGAAGGTCACAGCCAGCAGGACACATGAAAAGCACATTACAACAGCCGGGGTAACCTAACCTGTGCCTGTGATTCATTCTGGCTAAAACAGACTCAGGGCCCTGCCATGACACACCCAGCCCATGGGCCACACCTGGGAGGAGGGCACTGCCACTGCAGCAGGGGGTGCTGCTGTGTCTTCCCTCTCCCCTTCCCACCATACTAGCTCTTTTCCTGGTGGAGTCTTGGATGAAATGGGAGAGTTTGGCATAGTAGGAAAGAACTATAGGTAAGCATTTGGGCTTTTCCACAGCAAAACAAAGCCTTCTGTTACTCTCCTTGGACAGAGGGTGGATGTCCCAGGTAGGCCTGAACACAGGCCTAGACAGTGTGGGCCCAGGCCCCATGTGGAATGTGAGGCAGGGTAGCCTCCGTGTTTTGCAGGTGGATATTAAGGACACAGTGCACAGTAAGTATGAGAAGTTCAGTGTGGCATAATGACAGGTCCTGCCTCCACCCCTCAGCTGCTGTACTGAAGTCTGAGAGTTTGTTTTATCCATTATAAAACAGGGCCTGCCGTATTTCCCTGTGGGCTAATCTCTACTGCCTGACAGCTGTGTGCCCGGCACTAGCGCCTGATGGATGCTGATGCCCTGGTCCCCCTGACCCTTCCTTACTCTGTTCCTCCCGAGGTCTCTATCCTTTACAATCTTTTATCCCAATGCCATCCTTTACAAACATCTGTTAGCTATATTTTTCTTGATTAAGCGCCTAAAAATGAAAGTGAGTATAAGGCAATCAAGCCATATCAAATAGTGGTAGTGGTCTTAAGTATTTCTCAGAACCAATATGAATGCTTAGGAAGGTGATATCATTGATTTAGACCACAGGATGTTAATTCCAACTGTGTAGAAAATCAGTTCAGTAACTTTCCTCTGCAGATGACGGCTGACTTCCACAACAGAAAACCAGGCAAAAGAAGTTAACTTTTTTTTCTTTCTAAGTAATAGTTCAACAAATGTATCCTTTGTAATGTAAAATTAGTTTGAGAACATTACTTATGCAATGAAATATTTTATGTTCTGCATTTTGGCTTCTTTCATAAGAAAAACATCATTACCTTTTCTGATTGCGTTTTGAACAACAAACTCCAGTCCTTCAGGAAGCAACTTGTCCCTGTGGGAATTGGGAAAGGATCAGAGTTAAGCACTTGAAACAAGCAATTAATTCCCATTAGAGGATTAAGGCACTCATGTTCACTTTGAATCCAAAAGCAAGTTTGAATAAAATGGTGTACAACCGAGAGGTTACTTGTCAGAGTGAGTAAGTGACAGGCCCAAAGAGCGACCCTGAACTCACACGAGAGGCTGGGTGGCCACGTGACACAGCGCCAGGAAACAGGCAGGGTTTCAGGTCTGGGGCACCGTCCACGCTGTGGGGCACTGTCCCTACCCTTAACAGATGTTGTCCATGAACATAAGTCTGACAGTGTATGTCCCCATCCCTAATGGACAGAATTGAAGACAGGCACGCAGGAGATAGTAACGTGCAGTGCGGAGAAGCTTCCTCTCAGGCTCCAGAGCCTGTTCCACGTGACTTAAGCAGCGTCTCTCCAAATGCCAGCCACACCGTGAGATCAGTGTGAGGCCGGCCAGAGGGCCAGGCCTGAGGTGCCTCTGCTCGGGACCCAGAAGTTCAGCCTCTGTCCCCAACCTGGCAGGCTGGGAGCAATGTGGACATCCAGGGCCCAGCTGGAGGGGGACAGGCCCAGAGTCTCCACAAGTGTCAGGTCAGCAAAGTCTGACTAGTTTAACATTGCCCGTCTTTAAAAAAAAAACAAAAACACTGATGCAAATGTCCCCAGGGCCAGTGCTGCTAGAAATGCCTGTTGCATATTCAGCAGTTTCTTTCCTGAAGCACCATCCATCTATAGTTTCATATTTCATCACTGAAGCAGAAATTGAAAGTGATTACAAGTCTTTTGCATAATTCTCGCATTTGACCTGTTTAATTTTTTCCTAGCCACCTGGTGGCAAGAGTGTAAAAGGCAGGATTTAAGAGTTTATTATGATAGTGTACAAATTACAGCTATTTTGCGTATGCTCCGTCTACGCTTCATACATAAACACACACAGCAAGTGAACAAAAAAAAATGGAGTAATGATTAATTCTTAGGTCAGTTTCCAAAGAGATCACTGTGCAACATAAAAACAACCTTTAAAAAAGGGTTAACCCTTTTTTAGAACGGTTTAATGTTTGTATTAAAATTTAACGGCACATGGAAATGTTAGTACAATCTGTACATCATTGCGGCAACCTTCTCCGTGTGAGAAATTGGCCACTAACATGACCAGGTGGCAGATGAAGACTGTGGTAAGAAAAAGTAAAATGAAGGGCTGTGGGATGTGGGAGGTGTGAAGCCCAGGACCCCGCCTGAGCCAGCTCTGCCCTTCACTTCTGGCTGGAGGAGAAATTTCCAGAACCAGAACCACGCAGCCCAAAGAACTGCCTGGCAGAGAACTTCCCTTCTCTTCCTGGACTGCTTCTCAGCTTTCAGCGCTCACCGTCTTGGGTCAAAGGTGGCACGAGCAGGGCCTTTCCTGCTACCCCTCCCCAAGTGAGGAAGGGCACGGTGATCACTGTTAGGCCGTCAGGTCACAGTGACAAAGTGCCACCTGCCGCCCCGGTCCTCGGCTGGGCAGTGCCTGGAGCAAGCACAGACCTGGCCCAGGGGGTGGAGATGCGGGCGCACTGACCCCAAAGACGGCTTTCTGTATTTTACAGAAACTTCGCACGGCAGCTAAGTAGCAGCTTCCCGCCTCCCCCACCGTAACACTTTTCCCTGCAGAAAAGGCTGAGTGTCCGATATAGTTACACATTAATTCTTCAGAAGTTTCTTAGAACTGTAGGAAACAGGTGAAAAAACAAAATGCCGTGAACTTTGAACTCGGGCCCCGCCTGCGAGCGCGGGCAGCTCAGGAGTCAGCGTTCCCGTGCAGCTCTGGCTCGGTGCCGGCCAGGGCCGCGTGCATCCTGTGGGCGCTTTGATGCTCTCGTTCTGTGGCTCAGTAGTTTCTTTACAGCCAGCCCCAGGGCTTCCTGCTGAAGCCGGCCTCGCCAGCCCCTCTCGACCCCCCGGAAAGTGGCCGCCGAAGCCCCTTCCTCACGTGGCCCGGGGAAAGCCGGCACCTTTCAAATCAGAGGCCAGGGGCCCCACCTCACCTGCCCCCAGCTTAGACTCCCCCAGGCTGGGAAAACAATGGCACTCTATGGTCCCGACGCCACACCAGCCTGAGGAACGCGGCCTCGTCAAGCTTTCGTGGGTTTCTACTCTTTGGCCACAGCAAAAAATCATTTTTTCAGGCCGGGCATTTAGCTCAGTGGTTCCGCCGCCTGCCTCGCAAGCGCAATTTCCTGAGTTCAATCCCTGGTACCAAAAAACAAATAAACAAACAAAAATCACTTTTTCATATGACATCACTTTAAAGGCAACTATGTTGCCATCTTCAAAACACAGCAACCAACAATGCAGCCCAAGCCTTCACAGCTGCCCTTCCCGCTTGCAGGGGACAGGAAGCTGAAGCTGCAGCTGGAAAATCCCAGTGACCCGGGCTGGGACAGGAGCCCTGTGTGCCAGGCAGGTTGGAAAAGTAGCCAGGGTGCCAAGGCCAGGCACAGATGCCACGGAAGGTGCCAAGGCGGTATGGGTGCCACCTAGGAGCCTCGATGCCACCTGCAGCTTGGAGGTAAAGACCATGGGTGACCGCCAGGAGTGCAAGGCCTCACAGCGACATGGCCTCAGCCCAAGAGCACTCAAAGCCTCTCGGTCCCACATGGCTGGTGCAGATCCACAGGCTTCTCAGAGCCACACCTTGAGGGGAGGCCAGGTCCGGAGAGAACCAAGGGCCTCCAGGAGCAGGGCCGAGGGCGCAGGGGGCCACAGAGGGCCGTAACTGTGACATGTGACCTAGGACCGCAAAGATCAGTGGGGCAGGAGGCCATTGCCCTTCGGGGTGGCGTAAGGACACTACCCACCTCGATCCAGGTGGCTCGGGCGGGGGGAGGGAGCCATTAGTCAAAACCACCATCCCGTGCATTTAATCTATGGATTTGTTGTGTGTAAATTATAATTCAAAGAAATCTGACCTAGAGAAACCCTAAATGAGTTCAGGGAGAAGGTGGTCTGCAGGCCCCTCACCAGTCTGCAATGGAGTTCAACAAGCTTCCCAGCCCCTGATCAGAAACAGAAGCGCATCATCGTATATTCATGATGTCCCCAGGCATCTGGGTATTTCTGGAGCACTTCTAAAAACAGACTTGTGACCTCCTAAACTCAGTCACTTACTGGAATCCAACATGCAATAAAACAAAACAAGTCAGACTTGCCTGCAGCTGCTACCTGAGTTCCTGGAGAGGAGGCCAGTGTAGGTTAGCCCCGAAGAGGTGTGGACGGGCGGTACAGCCACCAGACACGGACAGCCTTTGGATCCACCCAGGGGCCTGTCACACTGGCTGCTGACTAGTCAGGTGGCTACTAAGACATGCAGCGAATGATCTGTAATCTAAAACACCTTTCCGGGCCTGCTGGAGAAGGCAGCTCTTCACTCATAGGCTGGCCTCAGCTCAAAATGTTTCTTGGTGCCCCTGGTCAAGGAGAGAAGGGCCAAGAATCTGGGCCTGCTCTTCACTTACCCTGCGCCTAGGCATGACACCGGGTCTGGCTGAAGGCAGGTAACTTCCAGCCTACCTCATGGCCCCACAGGGCTTCACTGTTTTACCTGTTGGGCCCTTTCTTATGTTCACTTTCTACACAATGTCTTCTTTTTATTTGAAAATTGTCGGTTAGAAATACCTTGATTAACTGGGTTTGGAACAGGAATGACAATGCACTACTTAAAAAGTTTTGCTTCCCAGAGACATTTTAAAGTCATATTAACACATTTTTTATATGTTTTGCTTTCATAGGTGAGAAATGGAGAGTTTGGAATGCAAACTTAAAGTTACAAGAAACCCAGAACAATTATAAAATAGTGCACAAAGCCATCTTCTTTTCTTCTAGTTAGCAGAATATTCTAGAAAGACGAGAACACATATCCACCTAAACAACTTGTAGATAACCATTTAGAAAAGCAAAACTACAGCTGAGGCCCCTGGCTAGGCATGGCCATTGTGACCTGTACCTAGCAGCTTGCCTGCTGGTTGCTTTGGGAGGAACAAATCTAGGAGGAAGAGCACTCCACAGAGTGCTCAGAGGTTAGAGGTCACAGCCAAGCTCCTGCTGGCAATCGGGGAGGCAAGGCCACCACAGGGCATGGGAGCCTGCAGGTGTGTCTTGGGCTCAGCTGCCTGGGAGGGGACACAGGACAGCCAACCAGGGAAGCCGCCACCCAACACAGGACAATATATTAGCAAGAATACTTCGGAAAATGACCACCGAACACAAACACAAACATAAACACAAAATGTCAAGATACCTGGGATCACCTACACAGGAACCCAGCACACTGTAGAGATCAGCCCTCGTGCCAGTCCTGACCTGCCAGTCCATCAAGTGCACCGAGCACGTGTCACCCTGACCCAGGGCCTGCTGCTGGGGCACTGCCAGCCCAGGGCCACAGGGCCCACTGCCTAGCACCATGACATCAGGGAGTAAAGAGAACGCCAAACCCAACAGGAAAGCAGCAAGTGAGTGGCACCATGGTCCCCTGGCCACTGTGCTGCCAGCAATCAGTGGTTGGGCTTTGGAAATCAGGACGCAATTCTCTTGGTAGCAAGGACAGATTTACCTTCTGCTAGGAATATTATTAAAACTGGTTTAACTTCTCTGAAGAGACACAGACTACCTGGAAGGAACCAGGTAGGCAGGAGGCAGCAGATGAAAGAAAGCAAACCTGGCAAAGTTAACTGCCCACATCGAGGCACCAGAAGTCGAGACATCACCCCAACACGCACACGTGCATACATACGACTCCATTTTTAAGCAATATGGAAATAAGCCCTTTAAAAATAAAAGCACAGAACTCAAAATTAAATCTTATGGGGTTTTTGACTAATTACCATCCCTAAGGCATTTGGGTTTCTTTTCAGTGCTTGTATAATTACCCAAGTTAAATTCAATGAAAACAGCTGAGAGATGAGTTAGAACTCTGAATTACAATAAGAAGGGAGCAGGGGAAGAAAAGGCCCATTGCAGAACAGGCTCCTCAGTAGCGCATGGAGGGGGGGGTCCGTTCCCACGCGCTCCTGCGCTCCAGCCCACGCTGCTCACTGCTGCCTCACCGAAGCCTGAAGCCTGAGTCTGAAACTTCCAGAGAAGCCACTGAGCTGCACTGGACACACAGAACTCACTGCATCTGACCCTGCTACGTACCACACCCCCACTGCACACATGCACGCAAACAGGCATGCTCGCACACGCATGCACACACACACACACACACAGCCCACTTCTGAAAGCTCATAGCAAATGGCAACACTGACAAAAGCCAAGGCAGGACCAGGAGGCTGCAGCTAACACACCTGGTCCCATTCCTTGGCATTTGGAATCCTCTGGCCCCTCTGGTGTTGGGGGTGGGTCCCAGGACTCTATCAAAGTTCTACTAACAAGCACATTTTGTGTATACTGGGCTTTAAAAGAACACTTAGAAGCCAATGCACCCTCCAATCCTGGGCTACAAAATCCCTTGTTAACCCCCCCCCCCCGCACATTCACCTTATAGTTATCTGGGAGGGTATGCGTAACACCTTCAATTTAGGCACTTTTTCAAGTAAACTTTTTTCAAAACAACAGAACAAGACTCTTGTTTTTCATCACGGAGGGGATTTTGTTGTTTTGGGGTGCAGGAGATTGAACCCAGGGTCTTTTCAATAAGAGTATCTCCAGACCGCCCCCTTTTAAATTTGAAATAAGGTTTCACTAAGTTGCTAAGCTGCCCAAGCTGGGTTCAAATTTGAGATTTTCCTACCCTCAGCCTCCCAGGGACTATAGGCATGTGCCAGCACACCTGGCTCTTTTTGTTTGTTGACAGTATTCTTTCCATTATGCTAAAGAAAACTGAGTTTAGCCAAGCATTTTCTTAATTTCAGTAACTCAAACATATCAGGCACTTTTGATTTCTCTTTGTCTCTAGAAGCTAGAAGCCCTGTCATTTCCCTTGTCCCAAACTACTTTTTAAATTAACAAGGAAAAATGTGTATGAAAACAGTAGGGAAAAACCCTGAGGATTCTCCCCACTCTGTCCCTCAGCTTTCCAAGCCAAAGGAATCTCTTTTCCCCAGGGCGGGAACAGCCGGGGCCTCCCAGGAGGAGCCTGCTGTCCCCTTCCCACGCCTGGCTGGCCACGCAGACACGGCCTCTGTCAGTAATTCCCCCAGAAGGGCACTGATGGCACCGAGGCCTGAGGCAGGAGAGAACAATACAGATAGGTAGAAAGGAGACAGGAAAAACTCATTTTAAAATTGGGTTTTGGGACATGAACTTTACCCAAGATTACAATGCCCTTTTTCCTTCCAGGAAACTCACTCCAAAAAAGAAAAAAAATCTCAGCCTGCAAACTGGGGCCCGTGCTCTTCACCTGCCAACTGAGGAAGTTCCCCCTCGCCTGCATCCTCCAGGAAGCAGCTTCTCTCTCAACGTCAGACACAGTAAACAGTTTGGTTCTAACCTAGCCCAGCAGACAGGAGGCCGACAGAGGGAGGAACACAACCCAGACCGCCTTTTTTTTTTTTTTTCAGCACTGGGGATCGAACTCGGGACCTGTCACTTGCGAGGCAGGTGGCGGAACCACTGAGCTAAATCCCCGGCCCCTGGAGCGCCTATCTTGATGATGCCTCCAAGGCCACACAGAACCCCCAGCCCCAGCCCATGACGCCCCCCCCCCCCCAGCCTGCGCCTCCCTGAGTGCGTGCTTCCCCTGCCTCACAAGCCTCTGTACCCCTCTGACTGTCGGTCTTACCAGTTCCTTTCCTGTGACGGAAGCCAGAGAGCCTACAATGTGCCCTGGGTGGGCCGGGTGGAGAACACTTGCTCTCTTCAGGGGACCTCCTTGGGCCCTGTCTGGTGACACCCTATGTGTCACACACCACGCCATGTCTGAGGGCTCACTAGAGTCCTAGCTGGAGCCTCTTACAATGTTCCGCTCCTTATGAGTCCTCTGCCTGGGTCCCCAGAAGCTGAGGATGCACTGGTGAGAGGGGGCGGAGGAGGGACGGGGCGCAGGTGGCCCGGTCTGATCTTTTGGAAGTCTGGCGTTTTTCCTTCCAAATTCAGGCAGAGGCCCCCCCCCCCCCAAGGACTCTCACGATGCAGCCCAGGCTGGTCCTAACTCGAGATGCTCCTGCTGAAACCTCCCCAGGGCTGGGGTCACAGGCGTGCGTCTCCACGCTTGGCCTGCCAGTGGTTAGCAGAGTCCTGGCTTCACATATTCTCAAGAGAAGCAGTTTCTCTCTGCCTTCCTCCTGCTGCCCTGTCTGAAGCAGAGGCAGCTCTCCAAGGAGCAGGGCCCTGTTTCCGGCAGGTAAGGCAGACAGGGAGTCTGCTCCCCCCAGCCCCCGAACCCGAGGAGTAGAAGGGGCATCCTCCCACCCAGCCTGCTGGCCTCCGCTCTGACCCTGCCGGCCCACAGGGCAGACCCTTCCGCACAGGCAGAGCAGCCCGACCCGGGTCTTTCCTGCAGACTGGAGGCGGAGTCTGAGCCTGCGTGTGCCCCAGGAGACGGGAAAGCGCTGCCCGGGGCTGTGGGCAGCCGCCAATTGGTGCTGCGACCCCTGATGGTTCTTTCCAGTCCACTAACCAGCACGGTGAGTGCGAGTGCGTGCAGTGGCCTGGACTGAGGTCAGAGCCTAATCACATCCACACGCCTTGCCCACGCGTGCTCAATGAGGGGAAAATGCAGAGGCGCTAGGTGGAGGCTGCTGCTGTTCTCGGAGCAAACACTACCACTCCGAAACGGGAAAGTGCCGCTAGGTAAGAAACCTGTCACCAACCCCACGCAGCACTGCTGTGAGCAGAGCCCTCCTCTCCTCGACTTTAAATCCAGCCCGGACTTAGTTTTCACGGGGCAAGGAGTGGCCTCCATTGGGATCCTCTGCCGCCTGTCCAGTTGCTGCCAGGCTGCAATGGCACAAGTTAAACATTACCATTCCAAAGGCACAAACAGCCGGATAGAAAGGAACAGGACCAAAGCAAGTCCAAAATCCAGCAGGGCAAACATTACGTCCCATAGTGGAAACCATAGCAGAATTAAACAAACCTTTTCAGGAACCAGAAGAGAAAGAGCACTCTCAATCCCACTTATGAGGCCAATATTATCCTGATACCAAACCAAATAATCACACTGGTAGAAAACTACAGACCCCTATTGATAATAAATATAAATGCAAAATCTTGAACAAATATTAGCAAAGCAAATTCATCGATATATAAAAAAGATAATGTATTGGTACCAAGAAATGGTTCCTCCGAGAAATGCAAGACAGTTAATATTTAAAATCAATCAATGACTCACCATAGAAACAGATTCAAAATGGAAGAACACAAAGGTGATCTCCATAGATGGAAAACAAGGGTTTGACAAAATTCGACAAATTCATGATAAAAATTCTCAGCAAACTAGAACTAGAAGAGGACTTCCTCAACCTGATAAGGGGCACTTATGAAAAACCAACAGCTAATGACAGTGTTAACGGTGAGCAAACAAACATTTTCCCAAAACAAATGTAATTACAGTATTATGTATCACAAACATATACTAATAGAATTTTTTTAATGGGCAAACGATTTAACCAGATACTTAACCAAAGATATATGAATCCCAGTAAGCACATAAAAAGATGTTCACCATCATTAGTCATCAGGGGAATGCATCTGGGAAAGGCCACAGTGGGATACCATTATATCTTCACTAGAACTGATAAAACTGAAAAGACTATTAGCATCAAGTGTTGGCAAGGACACGGTGTTAACTGAGACTCTCATATGCTGCCTGTGGGAATGTAAGAGGGTACACCACTTTGGGAAATGCTTTGACAGTGTCTTACAGAATTAAACAGACATTTACCGTACAAACCATAAGCTCACTCTTGGGAAAGTACCCACGATAACAAGCTGATGACATGCACAGAGAGAGCGAAGCCTGAATATTTACAGCAGTTCTGTCCCTAAGAGCTGACAGCTGTAATCAGCCCAAATGTCCACTAACTGGAGAACGCATAAACACACGGAGGCACGCAGACACAGTAATGATGGGCAGAGGACCGAAGACGGCAGGGACCGCAGGGCTGGGCGAAGAGAGAAGACTGGCTGTAAAGGGGTCAGGGGAAGGTTGGGCTGACGGAGCTGTCCTGTCCCTTGACTGTGGTAGTCACTGCTTGAGATCTACATCTGACAGATTCGCTGAATTTAAAAGAGAACACTGAACTTTACAAAGTCAGTGAGTGAGTGCTCGCTTTGGCAGCACATATACCAAGTCAGTGAGTGAGTGGTACTGCGTGTTGATTTATAGAGCTGACATTTCCCAAGGAGGGAAACTGCCTACCAACACCAGGATTTGGACAAAGCCCCTTTCTCCACCACCTACGGATGCCATGGTGCTCTGTAAGGAAAGGCAGTCCTCCTGGCCAAACCATTTCCCCCGCTGCTCTTTTCTCCAACATGAACACCACAGCTTTCAGTGTTCTTAGGGTTTTACCTAGTGGGCTTAACTGCACTGTTTCCAGAAACGATGTGGACCAAAAGCTCTGGGCCCGGGCCCTGCCGACACCCAAGCTGCCCTTCCTCCCTGCTCCTTGCTGCTCAGGACCTGAGGAGCGGGGCACTGGGTGGGCGGCTTGGGCTCGGCGCACACAGCTGGCCGGGCGACACTGCTATTGGCACTGATCCCTTGGGCTGGGCACTCACATCGCCTGACCCAGAGGTCCCTGGGGTCGCCCGGGGCTGTGCTAGACATTCTGTGTCTTCTTCACACAATCTATCTTTGTCTTCCCAGACTCTTGGCCAAGGTTTGTGAGTGTGTCCCTGGGACACAGTGTCCTAACGCACAATGGAGCCAGGAACCAGGGCATGTGATCTAAGGAGACTGATCACGTGGAGCCAGGACTGATCTTGGAACCAGGGCATGTGGTCTAAGGAGACTGATGTATGTGTGGCAAAATGGGTCAGAATCTTTGCTAGCCTGGGCAGCTCCCCTCTCCTGCAGGGCCGGGGGTGTGGGCTGTCCTTCCATGCCAGTGCCTGTACCCCAGGAGATTCCCTTTCCCCTCTCTGAGGACCTCTGCTTCTGCGCCCAGCATTAAGCTCCGGCCACACTTGCTAGGTCTCGTTACACATCAGTACTCTGGACACCTCCACTTCAGTTCTGCTGTTTCCTGTTGTGTCACTTGTTATCTACAAAACCCTAAACACCTATGAACACCCTTGAGCTTTGTTTTATAATGCCCGTCGGGTTAGTGTTCTGGTATGAGCGAAGTCTCCACCTGCCGTGGTCAGGGGGGTCCTGCTTGCCCTGTGACCCGCCCGTGCTGGGTTGTGCCATGAAGGGCTGCTCAGAGCCACGTGGGCCTTCTCTCGGCTGGTGCTATTCTTAATGCAATGGTGAGACTTGGAAACGGGCGGCGCAGGCAAAGGGCTGTCTGCAGCCCGGTGAACACCACCCTCAGAAGAGAAGATTTCCGGGGAGCAAATGCTCCCAGCTCAGAAGATGCCCACGTGGGCTTGTGACGTCTCCTTCTGACCACTTCCCAGAGGAGGGCCAGGCACCCTGAGGACACACTAGGGCCTGGCATACACAAGAGTTGTTTTGAATGAAAGAAGCCAGGAGAGAAACATGAGTTCTGCTCACTACCCAGAGAAGGCAGTGGACACAGCTGCGGGACCTCAGCTTCGCAGGCCACGTGCAGAGAGGGAGTCACAAGGACTGGACTCACAGTGCCCCTGCCACCCTCGCTTAGCCTCCCTGGGCTTTCCGTGGCTCTGAGACGGGGACAGAAACCCTCATCTTGCCAGCCCCCAGCTCAGAGGACTGGAGGGAGGCAGCAGTCACTGGAAGAGCACCGGGCACTCCCTGCATGGGCCTCCACGAGAGCCCCAAGGGGCCCTGTCCAGCTCAGTCCAGCACCACCACGTCTCCATTTCCACGCTCGTGAATACACTTCAGTTCTGCACAGGAAAACATTGCTTTCCTGGCAGGGCGCCACCCTCTCCGAACCTGATGTGAGTAACAATCCTGACCAGCTCCCATGCAGCTCCCACCATGCGCCAAATGAACCTCCAGTGGCCACCCGGAGTTCCACCCAGGAGCACACAGGGCTCAGCACACCTGCCCGAGTCAGGCGGTGGTGCTGGCACCCGCACTCAGGGCTCTGCACATGGCCGCAGGTGGCAATGCCAAGATGACTCTGGCCAGAGTGTGATGCCCAGCTCACTGCTGGCGGCACTCACCAGCTCCGGCCCGGAGCTCAAGGTCTCCTACAGTGGACCCAGTTATCCTCCAAGGGGAGCAGTCTGAAACCTGGGGGTGCCTGAAACTGCAGATGGTACCAATCCTACATATGAATTCTGCACAGTAGGGGATGGCAAAAGTAACTAAAAACAGAATATTAGCAATACACTACAAGAAAAGTTATGCTGACGTGGTCTCTTGAAATACCTTATTGGATTTTAACCTTTCCACTTAAAGGAAACTCTTTACAGTGTCTCACTGGCACATCTGGAGTGCCAACATCACAACTCTTCCCTCCGGAGCCGTTACCGGTAAACTAAGGGTTACCTGAGCACAGCCCTATGACACCCCAACAGTGATCTGGTCGCTACAGCAGCTGCTCACTGAGTAACAAGCGTGGATATCCCGGACAAAGGGCAGAGTTCATCACACTACTTATAACCATGTACACTCAAAACTCAGTGTTCATTTCTGGAATTTCCCGTTTAATATTTTACGACCTAGGTTGACCATTGGTAACTGAAGCCCAGAAAGTACAAGGATAGATAAGGAGGATTTGCTGTAAGGTGCCTAGGACAAATATTCCATGGTGGAAAATGGTAGATCATGGAGTTCTACAACATGACACACTATTATGGGCTCAACTTGGTTCCCCCAGAATTCACAGGTTGAAGTTCTAATTCCAGTACCTCCGAATGTACGTGTGTTTGGAGATAGGGTATTTTAAAAGGCAATTAAATTGAGGTCTTCAGGATGGGCCTCAATCCAATGTGACCCGGGAGTGTCCTTGCATGTGGAGGAAATCTGGACATCAAGCCCACGGGAAAGACCACACAGACAGGGAAGATGACAGCCACCTATACACCAAGGACAGAGGCCTCAGAAGAAAGCAACCTTGCCAACACTGATGACCTTGGGACTCTCAGCCTCTAGACAGGAAGCAATTCTGCTGTTCCCACCATTCAGTCTGTGGGACTTGTTATGGCAGCTCTAGGAGACTAACATGCTGACCGTGCAGCGCTGCAATGGCCTGGAAGACATTACCCCACGTAGGAGAAGGCAGACAGCTCACCTGTCATGGAGTTCCAGCCACATACCCAGAACAGCTAAAGCCACAGAACAAAGAGGGGACTGGCGGTGCCAGGGTCGGAGAGGTGGGACGAAATGGGTTCTCTTTTGGCATGAAAGTATATTCTGGATCTAGACAGGAAGCAGGGGCCAAACAACACTGTGAATGTACTAAATATAACCGAGTTCATCTTTAAATGAGTTTCACCTCAGTAACAGAATTCTAAAAATAAATAAATCTTTAAAAAGATACAGATAAAATGTATTATTAGAAAATGCCTCATTGACTGCCAAAGGGAAGGTATCTGTCCAGTGTGTCATAGAGAACAGGAAAGGGAGCAGAAATTTTGCTTACCCAGACCAGGACCTTATGATCTGACCCCAGCAGGGTCAGAATGGTGGGAAGGGCAGCCTTTTAGGCCCCCAGCTACTGGGAACCAGGGCTCGGCCTTTGGGGACTAGGGCAGGCAGAGGCTAGCCTGGGGCTTCACTCAGGAGTTTAGAATTCAAGAACTAATCCAGAAAAGGCGTCCTGTGTGTGTATGTGTGTGTGCACATGCATGTATAACTAGGCACTGAAGCAGGGCCTTTGCCCTGAGCTACATTGCCAGCCCTTTTAAATTTTATTTTGAGATGGAGTCTTGCTAAGTCACCAAGTTGCCCAGGCTGGAGTCAAACTTTCGACCCTGCTGCCTCAGGCCCGCAGAGTGCTAGAATCACCTGGCTTTAGACTTCCTCTATGTGCAAAGTTCACTTAACCAGAAAAGCAAATTTTATGCAAGCGCAAGGACCGGAGTTCGATCCCTGGTACCAAAAAAAAAGAAATGCAAATTTTTCAAGTATTACATTTGTACAAACTTATATCTTTAAAAGAAAAAAAAGTGCTTTAAGTGTCCTCAGTTATACAAAACACAGGAAAATAAATGCAAAAAAAAAAAACAAACCTCAAACTAAAAGGTAGCCATTTCCAAGATTAGTACATATTAGTTGTTTACATTTGCTGTCATTTTGTGTAACAAGGCAATAAGGCTGAGGACACACTCTAAGAACATTATGTTTTTTACTCTTCTGATTAAAGGTCAACTGCCGAAGTATACATATTAAGCCACAGAATGACCATTTAAAAACATGGAATATAGTACATTTTTTACTTTCCACAGCTGGGGTCACCAAGACAGGGCTCTAAGCACCTGAGCTGGTGTCCAGTGACAGCTGGGCCATCTGGACAGGGTGCAGGGTCCAGACCACACCCAGGTGGCGGCTGTGCTTGGGACCACACATTTGCTAAGTTTGTCTTTAATTCTGAACATAATCCTGCAAGGAGAAAACAGGAGTGAGAGAAATCTGAAATATTTTCTCTCTCTGTACAATATTTCACAGGTGGTGGCCTGTTGGCCTCTGCGTCCCCAGTTTTGTGACTCTGTTGCCCACTGTATGCATTGTTCTCCTTCCCAAATTCACTTACTCTTGTTCATGATGGCTTGATTACAGGCCTAAAATTAAAAATCCAAAATCCTAATGCAAGCTTCACTCTTTAAAGTAATTTGTGTTCAAATTGGAGTTCAAAAAAGGAGATTTGAGAAGAAAAGAAATACTGTAGTCCTTTAGACATTATGATGAAGAACAGGGCATAGACTTGCAAAAGGGATTAGTCAGGATTTTAAAGGCTGGTCCAGTTAACCTACCTGCCAATGTTCACAGTTTTCATTTGTGTATTTAACTACTGGCAGTCAAGGCAAACCCTATAAAGATGACAGCCCTGCTGTTTCGCAACTGGGCAATGCATTCTGAAACACAGCTACAGGTATCCAGGCAGCAAAGGGATCCTCAAAACCCTCTCTGCAGAAGGTGGCTTCTCAGCACTGACTTCCATGAACTAGTTCTCAAAATACCTGGGAATAATAAAGGAGCCAGTGGTCATGCTTCTGCCATAAGAAGACTGAGGATGGCACTTACCTGTGGCTGAGCACCCCGAGGGGCGTGCACGCCCTGGTGCCCTCGTACCCTCCAACCTTGCTGACTGCTCTGACAGCCTGTTACACAGACACGCTGAATGCCATCTCGGTGGCCATCTCCCCTGTGTGCTTGCCGCTGCTCCTCACATGGCCAGGGGCCTCTCCAAGATGCATGTAAGACTGTGCTGCTGCCTATTCCCGGCTGTGGAGTTCTGGTGGGCAGACACTCAGAAGACCCTGACCTCATACAGTTCCTGCCCATGGGGAGCTTAGGCTAGGTTTAGTGACTCTCTTCAAACACACAGAATACACAGGAAGTGACAGGATGTTACTTCTGAGGTTAGGTTATAAAAAGTCCGCGGCTTCTCTTGGGGGAGCTCCTTTGCTTTCTCTCTGAGATTCCTGGCTTTGAGGGAGCCTGCTGCCATCTGGTGGCCTCTCTATGGAGATACCCATGTGCAGAGAAACTGAGGTCTCTACCCATAGCTGGAATGGACCCCAGGCCTGCCAACTGTCAGGTGGGTCCACACCACCCAGAGTCAAGCCTGGATATGACTACACTTTGGTACTGTACTCAGTACCCTGAGTACACCTGTGAGAGACTTCAGGCCAGAGTCATCAGCTAAGAAGCTCTTGAATCCTGACCCACAGAATTGTGGGTAATGGTTGTTCACAGCCACTAATCCTGTGAGAAATTTGTTGCTTAGCAGTAGTCAACAAATTCAGGAAGGCTGAGTCTAAATTTTCCATGCAAGTCACAAAGGACAGTCACAGGTCAGCCTACACTCTCTGGTCACATCTGAGCCATGCCACACACTGCTCTGTGGCATAGTCTGTCTATTTTGCTCACAAGGTTGCTGCTTTCTTCAGAACCCTCTACATCCTGCTTGGTAAAATCCTCCTAGTCTTGCAAGGTTTCCAGCTTGCTTCAAGCATCATTTCCCTGAATCCAGGGCACCCTTGTGCCCCTTACCGGGTCCCTGGGGTCTGTCTCCCCAGGTGGCGGAGGGCCCAGGCCCCAGCCAGTTGTGTTCAACTTTCAACTCCATGATCTGAGGTGTGGTGGGTATGGAGTAAATGTCTGCCCAGAAAGAAGCTGTTTGCAAGCTGCCAGCCCAAAAGACTCCACTTTGAACATGTTAATGTCTATTTTCATCAAGGACATTGCTCATCTAACCATACCATGACCCTAACATCAGGGCAGCAAGCTGCATTGCTGCACCTTTGCACAGGCTTCTCTCACGTTCTGTCAACTGTTCTAATAGTATCTTCACAGCACAGGGACCTAGGGCAGAACTCCATTTGCAGTTGGCTGTTGCATCCTTAGTCTGCTTAAGTCTGGAACAATTCCTTAGTCTTTCTTTGATTCACGATCTTTTTAAAGATTTTTCAGGCCATTTCTTTCACTGAATGTCTCTCAGTTTGGTTTTGTCTGATGTTGCCTCCTGGTTAGGTTCAGGCTGTGCATTCTTACCCCGTCACATGGCACATTGTTTCCATCTGTCCCATTACTGATGTGCACTCTGATCACTCTACGGTGGCCCAGCAATGATGGTACAGTGTCTTTCCCCTCCTTACAACTGATAATACTTTGTGAGGAGGTCCTTAAAAATTATGCAAATACCTCATTCATCAAACTTGTCTCTTATTCATTTCCTCATTTCTATCTGTAAGGACCTATGGTTTCCTATTCTATCCAATGCTATCATTTCTTTCAATGCTCAGACTGTTTAATTCTGACAGACAGACCTCATTCTGGGACTTCTCTCGCTTTTTGCCTCCAGATGCTCTAGCTTACCTTAGACTTTTGTGGCCTAGCCCTGGGATCAGCCACTTTCCCAGGAAACTTAGTTCCTCTTAGTGGAAAATGGTACTTAGAAGCCAAGATCTGGTGTGAGCTGTGGTCACTGCTATTGAGGTATGTCTAATCTTCCTCCTACCTCAGAGAAATACACAATTGTACTCATACGTGTTTACACCTATAATTACATCTGTAACTGTAGTACTGAAAACTAGGAGTTTATACCAATATACTAAACCTAATCCACATTGCAGGACCCCTTCATTTTCTACATTTCTCTGTCCACCTCCCTCCTTCGGCAGTAGGAAGCCCGGCTCCCATTAGCCTTACTGCGGCTAACTCATCTGACTGATCTTTCTATGTGCAACTTGTTTCCCATCCCAGCCACCTCTAAGTCCCCTGCTCAGGCTCTGAGTCTCCACAAAAGGATGACTGTCCTGCACAGAGGGCTTACTCACCCGCCCAGGCTCAACTCTCCAGGTCAGGCTCCAGAGAAGAGTTAGCGATTTCCTGCCTTTATGGGAGGAGCTACAAAACCACCTGCCTGGGCACATGTGTAAGGGGTGGGGGCATCTGTGGTCACTCATGCACACACACCAGGGTCCTTCTGTCTCACTGCTAGCCTGAGACTTCTGTTCTCAAGGTTCCCTCATGAGGAGAATGGCTCCTGAAGTTCCAGTCATACTGTCACATCCAAAGGAGCAAGGAAGGGCAGGGTGAGGAATCAGGCCCTGCTTTCAGTCAAAGTAGGCTCCTTCCCGCACCTCTCTGGATAGCCCATATGTCTCTGTCCCCATGTCAGGCTCCACTTACACACGAGAAAAAACTGGGTGGGAAGTAAGAGGGAACAGATACTTAGCGGCAACTACCACTGTTTGCCACTCCTACCTCTTACACTAACCGACCAGTGCTCTATGCCCACAGGAGCTGAAGACCTCTAGAGACACTCTAGAG